GACTCCCAAGGATGGCTTGCCTTACCTAATTTTTTTGGCCTCGCTTGTCATCAGTTTTTACCTATTAACATTAGCAGCTAGCTGGTTTCATTTCTAGTTCTGTGCAAGCTACATATATAGGTTGGGTTAATTTTTTTTTTGTTCTAATTTACCAGTGACTAGGCTCATTAACCAGACAGCCACAAGTGTTGAACAATAATGGGCTTTCTGTCCCTACAGGATGGGATACTTTGTTCTGAAGTGCCACTGAGAGGCTTACTCTGTAATAACAAAGGAACCTAGAAATAGTATCTTCTTTGATTGAAATAGTTATGTAATCTTTATTCTGTTTGGGACTATAGCATAAACTTATAGCAAACTAATTTACATACTAACAGTGAGGATGCATAGTATAGTTAACCTTAAAAAAAAAAGGTTTTAGAATTTCTCATGATTTTTCTGTACATCAGATTGTTTTTCCAGTGATAACTAACTGGATTTTAGTCTGTAATAAAGGGGATAGACAATTTACAAAGGAAAAAAAAACAAAAACAAATTAATAGTACATAACATTTTGCCCTCATTAGTAATTAAAAAATCGCAATGGCAGTGGTTTTCTAAGTTCTGCTTAATAGTTTTTTTTTTTAATTGTATTTCCTTTTTCTAAGGAAAAGTTTATTGAGGAAAATATTCTTTTCCTCACCCACAATTGTTTTGACTGTTCAGGGAATTAAACTTTTAATACAAGCTTCAGATTTCGCTAACAATCCATTTCTCATTCTATGAAATCCTGGAGTCAGAAGAGATCCCAATACATGAAACGCCCATAGACATTATTCTTTTATTAATGCCAAAAACAAAAATGTAAACAATGACATTTGTCAGGCGAATTTTGGACGCCAAAATAATCTGTTCCTTTTTTGACAAAGGTAGATTTTCCTAGCTGAATAAAACATAACTGTGTAAAAATTATACCTGGATAAAAAAAGGTTAATTGACTGAACCCTTGAAATTTACTCAAAAGCGTCCCCTGCTGGTGAGCATAAAACTGTTTTGCCAGATTCGTTCTTAGTGTTTTAGGGGGTAAAAACGCAGTACAACTGCTGTTCCTACTGACTGCATTTGACATCTCAGCAAAGATTCTCTCCTCAGAATTCATATATAAGATGGGAATTACGGAAAAGATTTATTATAGGTAATTTTTTGACATGTAGACACTGGGTATATGCATTGGCTGTTTCCATAACCCTGCCATAACGTCACCTTGACTATGCTTTCATGCCTGAATATTGTGATAAGTATCAAGTATAAAAATGTCTTTGTAATCGCAGTGAAGTACATGTAGTGGCTAAGACCGCAGGTTTCAGAGAGAGAGAGAGTACTGGGTTCACATCACACACTTCTGTTCCTTAATGCCAGGGTACCACAGGAAACGATTTAACCTCTCTGGTCGTGTGATAATAGTTTTTTTTTTAATGGTAGAATTTAATTCTTGGGAAAATATGGAAAAACTGGCATTATGGTTAATACAACATAAATTTGACAGTCTTTCTGGAGAGTAATTTGCCAACGTGTATTAAGGTACTTAAAAAGGTAATACCTATTCAGGGGTTGGGAAAGATGAGGAGTGATCGCCAGTGGGTTACGAGTTTATCTTTGGGGTACTGAAAATATTCTAATTAGATAATGGTGATAGTTGCACAACTCTGAATGTACAAAAAGCCACTGAATTAGACATCTTAAAAGGGTGAACTTTATGGTAATGCAAAAGGACTGTACTCAATAATGTTATTAAAAAAGTTAATGACTTTTGACCCAGTAATTCCACTTAGTTAATCATAAGTAAGGACAAAGATTTGTTCACTGAAATATAATTCAGCTTTATTACATCAAAAATGGGAAACATCTTAGTTCAATTAGGGAAAAGTTTAAAAGACTCATTGTATATATGATGGAATCATTTTTAGTTTTTTTGATGCTTTTCTGGTGATATAGGAAAATATATCTCTGTATTCTTAAGTGAGGAAAGAGGTTTTTAAACCAGATATGTCATATATTATCATAGGGTTTTTATTTGTGAATTTTTTTTAAATAAAGGGAATACCTCTTCACATTTTGGGGTATGTATGTGGATAATGGGTCATTTCAAAAACTTTTTATTGTAGTAAATTAAAAATGTGTGTATAAATAGACAGACCAATTAATACATACCACTATGTGCCCAGCCTTAAAGTTTTTCGATTTATGGCCCATTTTATGTCTTCTATTTCCCAATTCTTTTCTGCCTCCTCCTCTACTGATTTGAGGCAACTCCTAGATGTCATGTCATTTAATCTGTATTTCAGTATGTGTCTCTGGTAAAGACTTTCTAAAAAATACCATTACCATTATCACATATGAAAAATTAGCAATTCCAGTCAGGGTTCAAATTTCCAATTTTCTCATCTGGTTTTTAAAAAGTTTATTTGGGTTAAGATCCAGATAAAGTCCACCTATTGTGACTGATTGCTCTGGTTTTTACTCTGTAATAACAAAGGAACCTAGAAATAGTATCTTCTTTGATTGAAATAGTTATGTAATCTTTATTCTGTTTGGGACTATAGCATAAACTTATAGCAAACTAATTTACATACTAACAGTGAGGATGCATAGTATAGTTAACCTTAAAAAAAAAAGGTTTTAGAATTTCTCATGATTTTTCTGTACATCAGATTGTTTTTCCAGTGATAACTAACTGGATTTTAGTCTGTAATAAAGGGGATAGACAATTTTCAAAGGAAAAAAAAACAAAAACAAATTAATAGTACATAACATTTTGCCCTCATTAGTAATTAAAAAATCGCAATGGCAGTGGTTTTCTAAGTTCTGCTTAATAGTTTTTTTTTTTAATTGTATTTCCTTTTTCTAAGGAAAAGTTTATTGAGGAAAATATTCTTTTCCTCACCCACAATTGTTTTGACTGTTCAGGGAATTAAACTTTTAATACAAGCTTCAGATTTCGCTAACAATCCATTTCTCATTCTATGAAATCCTGGAGTCAGAAGAGATCCCAATACATGAAACGCCCATAGACATTATTCTTTTATTAATGCCAAAAACAAAAATGTAAACAATGACATTTGTCAGGCGAATTTTGGACGCCAAAATAATCTGTTCCTTTTTTGACAAAGGTAGATTTTCCTAGCTGAATAAAACATAACTGTGTAAAAATTATACCTGGATAAAAAAAGGTTAATTGACTGAACCCTTGAAATTTACTCAAAAGCGTCCCCTGCTGGTGAGCATAAAACTGTTTTGCCAGATTCGTTCTTAGTGTTTTAGGGGGTAAAAACGCAGTACAACTGCTGTTCCTACTGACTGCATTTGACATCTCAGCAAAGATTCTCTCCTCAGAATTCATATATAAGATGGGAATTACGGAAAAGATTTATTATAGGTAATTTTTTGACATGTAGACACTGGGTATATGCATTGGCTGTTTCCATAACCCTGCCATAACGTCACCTTGACTATGCTTTCATGCCTGAATATTGTGATAAGTATCAAGTATAAAAATGTCTTTGTAATCGCAGTGAAGTACATGTAGTGGCTAAGACCGCAGGTTTCAGAGAGAGAGAGAGTACTGGGTTCACATCACACACTTCTGTTCCTTAATGCCAGGGTACCACAGGAAACGATTTAACCTCTCTGGTCGTGTGATAATAGTTTTTTTTTTAATGGTAGAATTTAATTCTTGGGAAAATATGGAAAAACTGGCATTATGGTTAATACAACATAAATTTGACAGTCTTTCTGGAGAGTAATTTGCCAACGTGTATTAAGGTACTTAAAAAGGTAATACCTATTCAGGGGTTGGGAAAGATGAGGAGTGATCGCCAGTGGGTTACGAGTTTATCTTTGGGGTACTGAAAATATTCTAATTAGATAATGGTGATAGTTGCACAACTCTGAATGTACAAAAAGCCACTGAATTAGACATCTTAAAAGGGTGAACTTTATGGTAATGCAAAAGGACTGTACTCAATAATGTTATTAAAAAAGTTAATGACTTTTGACCCAGTAATTCCACTTAGTTAATCATAAGTAAGGACAAAGATTTGTTCACTGAAATATAATTCAGCTTTATTACATCAAAAATGGGAAACATCTTAGTTCAATTAGGGAAAAGTTTAAAAGACTCATTGTATATATGATGGAATCATTTTTAGTTTTTTTGATGCTTTTCTGGTGATATAGGAAAATATATCTCTGTATTCTTAAGTGAGGAAAGAGGTTTTTAAACCAGATATGTCATATATTATCATAGGGTTTTTATTTGTGAATTTTTTTTAAATAAAGGGAATACCTCTTCACATTTTGGGGTATGTATGTGGATAATGGGTCATTTCAAAAACTTTTTATTGTAGTAAATTAAAAATGTGTGTATAAATAGACAGACCAATTAATACATACCACTATGTGCCCAGCCTTAAAGTTTTTCGATTTATGGCCCATTTTATGTCTTCTATTTCCCAATTCTTTTCTGCCTCCTCCTCTACTGATTTGAGGCAACTCCTAGATGTCATGTCATTTAATCTGTATTTCAGTATGTGTCTCTGGTAAAGACTTTCTAAAAAATACCATTACCATTATCACATATGAAAAATTAGCAATTCCAGTCAGGGTTCAAATTTCCAATTTTCTCATCTGGTTTTTAAAAAGTTTATTTGGGTTAAGATCCAGATAAAGTCCACCTATTGTGACTGATTGCTCTGGTTTCTGTCTCTTACTCTGTTGGCTCCCTTTCAATCATTTATCCTCTTTGCAATTTATTTGTCCCGTAAAGTGTCCTGTAGACTGGGTTTGGCTGATTGCATCCTCATGGCTTCACACATTCCACTGTGCTCAGTATTCCCTGTAAATTGATAGATGGATGTAGAGGCTCAGTCAGATTCAGGCTCCAAAAGAAACTGTTTTTTTTTTTTTTTTGGCAATACTGTTTCATAGGTGGTGTACTGATTTCATTTTAATTTTCTTCTTTCTTTATTACTTCTATTTTCTCAAGTTTCTCCAGGAAACATGCTTGCCTTTAGAAACAAAAAGTAATATCATTAAGAAAAAATGGATTGCGAGCCCACAGTGGTTAGCAGTAATGGGCTGTGGTAAGTCCCCAAATTGAGTAATTCATATGTGAATATCCAGAGTTGACTGCATTTGCATTTGTTCACTACGCTGGGAGGTTCTCAAATTGATTATAGTTGCTGAAAAATGTTTTGCTTGTTGTCTTACCAAACTTGTGTGCTGTCATACCTGCATGTGAATGTTTTGGTCTGCATGAAGAGACACTGGGACTAAACTAATCCAGAGGACTCCCTTATTTTCCCTCCATTCCTTACCTATACTAGTCTCAAAAGTACTTTATCTTCAGTAATGTCTGGTCTTTGCACATAACTGCAGAGTTTTTTTTTTACAGGTGGGCTTCCAGATTACCTCCATAAAATGACAAGAATAATGTGATCTCAGTATATTCAAAACACACCAATCTGAGATTGTATTCCCTTTTTATTTAGGAATTTACTAGTGAGGACTGGAAGGAAAGGAGCACATGCTTGTTCATATTCTTTTATATTTCATAGTCAGATCCCTAAGGGGACATTGTGGTATTAATTGCCTAGTTGAGGGGTCAACTCTATTGGTCTGAAGTGATCTTTCCATTAATTAAGTTTTTATCAGTGTGGAAGAAGCTATTTTCCCAAGAAATGTTATTTTATATCACTGAGAAACTTTTCTTCCTCTGAAGTTCCTGTGGTAGGGTGTTCAAGAAAAGGACATTAAATCTGGTTCTAAAATTTATTTATGGACCAGAACTGATCTTGTTCAAGAAAATGCTCACAGTTTTTTCCTTCATGACCCAGAAAATATGCCCTTTGTAAAACGCTTTACTGATTCACCTTCATCTGCAGGATAAAATCCAGTACCCTTTGCCATAAAAGGCCCTTCAGCATCTGACTCCTGCCTCTCCCCCATACTCATTCCCTCCTTCTGTATGTTTCAGTTCTATCAAACCACTTGTAGTTCCTTAAATATATCATGCCAGCTTAAATGTGTCTCCTTATCTGAATGAATGTCCTCTCCTCCACACCCTTTTGCCCTGTTTTATTACTATTTACCTTTCAAATCTCAGCTTAGATGTCCTCTTCTTGTTAGCATTTTTCTTGTCATGTTATATTGCAGACACACACAGACACAAATACACTTGAGAGAAAGGTCCATGTGGTACTCTTTTTCTGTAACTGGGCTGCTTACCACAAGGTCTCAGCATATAATAGGCACTTAGTAAATGTTTGTTGAACTGAGTCGAAGCATAGGTGGGAGCTATAAAAGGCTACTAAAATAGCCCAGGTCTTGGGATTTGCGGTCATCGTTTGGAAAACCGACCTTTCTTAGAACTTAATATCCTTTCCCTATCCCAGTTTGTCTTTGTGTTAGTAATCATGATCTGAGAAGTGGAGATTGCAGACAGTCTGTATTGCCTCCCCAGAGAGACCTTTCTAGTACTCTCGAGAAAATAGCAGTCGCGCCACATCCTGCTGCTGGGACAAAGAAGCGGCAGCACTGGGGAGCAAGGAGCTCTAGAACCTTTATCCTTGGCCTTGTTAAATTTGCTTGTTTGTTGGGATGAACTGGCTTTGGAGAGGTTAATAGCCTGGGGTCGCTCTAGAGGCTTATTGCTGTTAAGCTGCTTTCACTCTTTAATCTCACATATAATCACAGTATCCTTTAAGTGAATAGGGTTGTCATTGGTGACTGGGTTTCTAAGTTCTTGTTTCATTCTATCCTTCACTCTCTGTATAGTTTTTAAAATTATACAAAATAGATTCATGTTTATTGAAAACAAAGTACAAAAATGGAGACAAAAATTAAAGTTCTGCCAATCCCTGCATATATATTCACTTATACACACAGTAAAGCTTCTTTTGTTTTTTAATAAGGATTATATTCAGTATTGTTCTGTGAGTATGTCAAGTCATTAGGTCATGAGTTGAGAAAAGGTCATTTTTAACCAACCCTTGGTTATCCTTACGTCATTTGGTCACTTGCTCTGTTAATAGCTAATAACACTTCTACACTGTAAAATTGAAATGAACTGTGTGTTAGACATGTATTAGGTACCTTGTATTCCTGTCTTTTTAGTAAGATCAAGTGTGATATTTTTGTAGGTGATTGTGTTGTTTCTAAAACCTACAGACAATCCTGCAAGACTTGTTAAAGAGGTTAAAGCTAACTTACTCAATGTCACATGACTAAGCATGGCTGTTCAGAGAATCAAACGCAAGCCAAGCTTTACTGCCTTGTGAACCACCTCTCTGTAAAGCATTTGCCTTCTCTTTTAGATCTTAGAACAACAGTGTTTCTCAAACCATCTGTGCTGAGGAAAGTGCTAACTTTCTATGTGACCTTGACCAAGCATTGTTTTCCTCAATCTGTTGCAAATCAGTACTTTTGTAAAATACAGTATAAACAAGTTACTAGAAAAATTGAGTTTGGAAAGGCATAAAAAATACAAGTCCAAATATATTCTTAGATTCCAAATTCGTCAAATTCTATACTTATTTCACAGACTGGGAAAAAATCAGCTTGTGGGCCAGCACTGGACTACAGACCTTCTGCAAGTCCCTGCCTTAGAGGCTTCGGGGTGGTGTAATAGAAAAATCCTTAAGAACTAGTTTTTGTTTTTAATATTTTGTGGAAGATTTTAAATTTATACAGAGATAGAATAGTATAAATAAAGAATTCCATGTACACATCAACTACTTCAACAATTAGTAACTTACAGTCAATCTGTTTCATTTTCTTTGACACCCTTAACCTTGCCAACTATTATTTTGACACAAATCCTAGACATCATCTCATTTCATTCATAAATATTTTAGTATGTATCTCTAAAAAAATAACTTTAAAAACACAGCTTCTGTAACATTATCACACCTAAAAAAATTAACAGTAATTCCTTAATATCTTCAGATCTGCTGTCAGTGTTCAGATTTTACAGATTGTTTGTAAATATCTCTTTATGGGTGATTTCTTCAAATAAGAACTAGCTTTTCTGTCATTCTATTAATGTGATACATCACGTGGATTTTTATATGTTGATCCCCTTGCATCCTGAAATTAGAAGTTGTTCATGATGTATCATGCTTTTAATATGCTATGTATCTTAATAATACTCAGTTTGCTAGTATTTTATTGAGGATATTTGCATTTATATTCATAACAGATATTGGTCTTTACTTTTCTTGTAGTATCTTTGTCTGGATTTGGTAGTAGAGTAATGCTGGTCTCATAAAGTGAATCAAGAAATGTTGCCTTTTCTTCAGTTTTGGAAGGATTGGTGTTAATTTCAAAGAACTGGCTTCAGACATCACTTCAGTGCTAACTTTCTATGTGATCTTGACCAAGCTGTTTTACTTTGTTGGGCCTCAGTTCCTTCATCTGCAAAAGGATATCTAATTGAATTAAATGCTCTTTAATTCATTTCTATCAGTTTGTTGCCCTACACTAGGGTCTAATTTGGTAGAAAGATGTTTGCTGTCATTGTAAAAACTTGTTATTAATGATGAATTTCTCCCTGAAATTAAGAGAACTACAGACTTGAAAGTTGAAAGGGGCTTTAGGAGGTTATTTGTTTTAGGCCCCTGCTTTTACAGAAGCAAATTATTGTCTTTGCCGCATACATAAAACAGGTGAAGTTCAGAAGGTTTTAAGTGATTATCCTAAGATATATAACTAGGACTTAAGTCTGTTTACTACAGGGCCTGTGGTGCACATATGTTTTTTTCCGGAAGTTAGCATAATTGGATAATGATTTTTCTTGTGTTTTTCCTTCCCTGTAGGTTCTTTGCACTGACATCCCTTCGTCTTGTGTTTTTACTTGCATTCAACTTGATGATCATTGTGTGTATAGATCAATGGAAGAACAAAATCTGGCCTGAAATAAAAGGTGAGTTTAGTAGCATTTAGAACAATCTGAACTGGAAATGGTCTTTCCTATAATTTTTTCCTTTAATTTTGGGGGTTTATGAGGGAGTTTGTGGAACTGGGAGTATCTTTTTATGTCTCACTTATTTGCTTTGGGAGACACTTGAAGGGCTAGTGCTCCATCTGTAGTTCCTTAGAACCAAGTTCCACCATTTCCATTGTAATTAAGCTCAGGAAATCAACATCCACCACCTGAGACTTTCTTCTCTCATAATTGGCCTCAAGTTTTTAAAAAATAATTCTCCTCATTGGATACTCATTTTTAGTGAGGCAGTGTCAATTTTCCTCTCAGGAATTTGTTTGAAATAGTTAATTTGCAAAGCACTAAGCTAGGCATTGTGACTTATGTAAAGTACTCTAAAATATGGTTCCTTTTCTCAAAGATTATATATACATAACCCTAAGGAAAGTTAAATGACAGAGAACAGTACCAGAGATCTCACAGTGTACTATCTCAGCAGTTTGTCATGCATTCGACCCAGCTCAAGCCTTGAGTGAAGCAAAAATTTGGACAGGTGGAGAGGGAAAGGTTTTTAGAGGGGCCAATAGCCTGACTAGTCTGAGGAACCAGAAGCTGTAAAGCATCTCCTGAGAGCAGAGAGCCAATCGTTTTCATAGGAGGGAAGAGGTCATTGAAAGGTGTGCTAGGAAATATAACTGAAAGTATATTGGGTTTGTATTAAAAGGTCTTAAAGTTAGGCTTAGCAGTTTAGATTTTATACTGTAGGTAGTGGGTGGTCATTGAAAATTTTATTAGAGCTATATGCTGAGATAATACTAAAGATTAATTTGGTTTTTGGAAATATATATGTATATATTTTATATTGAGGTATAAAGATTAATTTGATAGCATTTTACAGGACCACCTGGAAGGAGAAAAAGGGAGAGGGGGAGGATCTGAGAGGAGACTATGGCTGCATCTGTGTGAGTAGTCAGAGGTGTCTATGGGAACGAATGATGGATGGCTTATAGAGCTGTGGAGAAAGAAGACAGTACATTAAGACCGATACATAGGGCATTGGGAGAGTAAAGGATTAAAGCCAGCTTTGGGATTTCAAAGCTGGGAGAGTAGGAGAGTGGCATTATAGTTAGCAGACACAGGCAACGTCAGTCAGGGGAGTTGGTTGGTTTGGGTGGGAGTGAGAGAGAGGAAAATTGATGTAGGTTTTGGACATGTTAATTTTGAAATGTTGGCAAGATATCCAAACCAGAGTGTATAGCTTTTAAATACATTCCCATCCTACTTTGCAGAGAATTCAAGCAATCATGTAATTCATCCTCCCATCTTATGGCTGGTGAATGTCAAAAGACTCAACATCATTCATTGTTGTTAATAGATCTCTTTTTTAGAGAGAATAGGCAGATTTCTAGTGTTTTAGTTATGACATGCCTTGGTAACCTGGTGCACGTTGATGTGTATGAGCAACCCAGATACATTTGTGGGGTGGGATGGACCATTTTTTGTGTGCACCTTGGCTCTTAGATGTAGGAATTAAAAGGGCCTTAATGCTCCATTTGGATCCTCCCCCTACCCTGCCCCGCTGGAGAAATGAGCAGGCATCAGCCATCATTCCCTTGTCTGCAGCTCCCTCACTCTAGCAGTATAACATGGTGTTTCCTTTTTATTGGCTATTACTGTTTTCTTTTTCTGAAACCTATTAAAACTTGAGCTGTCAGACAAACAGCCTAACATTTTCATGTTTAGTTTCCCTACCAACTAATGCTCGTGTTTGTTTTAATATTGTAGTGCCAAGACCCGACGCATTAGACAATGAGAGGTATGGAACACTAATTAAATCCCTTCTTCTTGCTCTGATTGATTCTCTTGTTGTAATATTCTGGTTACATGTTGTTAACTCTGTGTTCTGGACACCAAGTATAAGCTGAGAACCTAGTCTGTTTCCAATAATCATTTTAACAAATCCTAAAGTTCAGGCAGCAATAGGTTAAGATGGCTAGTGGCCTCTGATATTTTTACAAGAGAAGTTTCTGAAAAGGAAGCATTATCGTGTCCCAAAACCTGACATACCAGGGAATTAGCTGCATCATTCAGCCCTAGTGTGAAAACTAAAGAGACAGCTTATTTTATTTGTCTCCTGGCTTTTATGCCAGGTCATTTAGTGTTTTCTATGACTTGCTATTTAAAGTTCCTGGTCAGAAAACACATTGGTTCTGGTATCAGCAAGCCAAAGATTCCTCTTGTGTCTTTACAACTCCTGCTTTCATTTCTCAGTTCATTCATCCCATGTGTTTGATCCAAGGAATTTTCTCTGCTACAGTTTATTTTGGTTTTATTTGTATTCTGAGGGTTCATCCACCATTTCCTTCCCCTCAGCACCAGTGGTTTCAGACTGTCCTTTACTTTTAACCCCAGATTGCAATCACTGTGAATTGCAATGGTCTGAGCACGGGAAGATGTTTCTAAGCACAAAAGGGCCTTGGAGTCGGTGGACAGGTTTATATACAGGGATTGGGCTGCTTGCTCACAGGATGGAGTTGTCAGAACAAGCCTGCTCTCCTACTCCCTAAATTCAAGTTTCAACCTGGGTGAGCTAAAAAGAAAGTCATGCTTCACCTCCAAAGTACCTCAGACTAGCCACTCCCAGTTCCTATTGAAACCCGGATACACTGGCTGCCTATGCAGCAACATGTGGGGAACCTTCAATACCATCCTTTCACAGCTCCCCTTCTCTCTCCCTTAGCTGGGGCTTTGTGCACCCTCGGTTGCTCAGCGTGCCTGAGCTCTGCCACCATGTAGCTGAAGTCTGGGTTAGTGGGACCATTTTCATAAGGAATCTTTTGCTTTTCAAAAAGCAAAACCCAGGCAAGGTAAGACTCTTCCCTTTTTCACTTTCATTTCTGACTCCTCACTTCAGTCTATGCTAAATGAAAACAGCCCTTTTACTATGTATCCTCATTCAAGAAAGAAAAGACCATGAGGTTTGTGGAGACAAAGGGAAGTTTTAGGAAGAAGCTTCTGACTGGCCACAAGACTCCTCCTTTGAATGCTTACACTTAGAGTAGGCCATCTTCCCACCCCAAGATGGGAAGGAAAGCTTGCTTTTGTGCAGTCAGTTTCATATTAAATGTGGTAGGTTGTTGGGTTTTTTTGTTTTACTTTGACTTAAAAAACCCACCACCAACACTAGCTTTCAGAGAGAATTTTTGGCTAAGTCCTATTCAAACCAATTTCTCAGCATGAAAAGTACAGCCCTGTGGGGTTAGCCACATATAAGAAGTTTGAATAGAAGTGGACATCCTCCTTTTCCTCCCAAACAACCACCACTGGATGCGGCAGTGGCTGGATACACCTGTCATTCTGTCTATGCTTTATACTCATAGGTCATTAAGAATCATTTCAGTACATCTCCATCTTACCCCCGATCCCTACCCCCGTCTCCTGCCATGTAGCAGAAACTTAATACTATTTCCTGACTCCCCTAGTTCTGCTTGCTGAGTTGTGGGATACTGACCTTTTTGGCTGTCTTGGGCCGCTACATCCCTGGGCTCCTGCTGTCCTACTTCATACGTAAGTATGGCCTATGCCTCTCTCCTGAACTTACCCTAATCATGGCTTTTCAGCTATAGCTAACTCTGGGTCTAGAGAGAGGACTTTCTATTTTCATGACCTGTTTAGTATCATGAAAATATCTTTCTTCTTATCTATAGCAGGCTCCCAACATAAAAAGTTATTTTCTCAAGTCAGCTTTAGAAATTGTTGAGGGTCCTCTAACATACATTGTATTACCAACTATAAAGGACTGTCTGTCCCTATTTAAGGAGGGGATTTTTAGAGTCAGTATATTGTGTATCATCAGATACAACCTAACTCTTAGGGGATCCTCTGCTAGGTTCTGTTTACCCTGCGGCAGTTCTGTAAATTTAGTGACTTCTTTTTGGCATGAACTCTGCTTGCTTGTGGCTGGAAGTAAGGCTGTGGCCATTACATCAGAAGCTCACATGACCTGTTGTGTAGTTTCTGAGGTATTGCTACCTCACTGAGCCTTGTTTATGGCTCAGTGACACCCATATGCAAGTGACCGCCCTGCTGGGTTCTGCCCTCAGTGCATCAGCACCACACAGCTGTGCACATCCTTGTAGGTGGCTGCCAGAGTGTGTGCCCTCCCCCCGCCAACTTCACATAGTAGGGAAACCAGTGAAGATGACCAGCTGTTCACATTGTATCCAAGCCTGAAGGACACAATAGCAGAGGGACAGTTAGGACTGTTTCATGCAGCCCCTTTTCCATTTTGCCACTGTTTCCCACTCTCTAGTTGTTACTGTCATGATGTGGCCCCTTGCTGTGTACCATCGGCTGTGGGATCGAGCATATGTACGGCTCAAGCCAGCTCTGCAGCGGCTGGACTTCAGTGTCCGTGGCTACATGATGTCCAAGCAGAGAGAGAGACAATGTAAGTGTCAAGGGGAGGCCTCCTTTGGGGGAGAGAAGAAACCTGGAGGTGCTATAACAGGTCCTTGTAAGTGGGAGAAGTGTGGATGGTAGGTAAAAATGATACTGTATTCCAGGGACATCTATGCAGACTTCTCAGTTTTTCTCATTTGGAATTCTAGACATGCATTTTAAATAAATCTGAGAAAAGCTCCCCTAAGTTGAAACAGAGACAGACAGCGGAGATACCCCTAGTGTTTGCTGCTTTTATGAAGCATTTTCCATATGCCCAAGCACTGTGCTGGCTGCACTGCATGTCCTCTTACTTAACCTTAACAACCACCTTGAGAAGGGGGTAGTATTATCTTCCTTTTCCAGTTGAAATTGAAGCTCATAGTGAATGGCTGTGCAGGTCTTTTAAACCCCTAAGCCACGTCTCTTTTCTCTACTGAAAGCTGCTTTCAAAGATGATTCAAAACTGCCAACACCTCAGATGCCGGAAGTATGCTAAGCCCAGGATCCTCCAACACCCAAATGACAGCTGTGCAGACTTTTTCCTTCCTTCTGTGGTCTGGTCAGGTTGAATGTTTCTTTAAGCCCTGGCCTTCAAAGAAGCCTACATGTAATCACCATGGCAGGGGTAGCCAGTTGAATGGTATCAGCCCTCAAAAGCCCTGATATAAGAGATGGGGCATCTCTCTGCCCTCTCTTAAGAAAGTGTTCACTTTTCACCTGGACATCTGGCCTGCCCCTAGCTGCTTCTATGAGTTGTTAACAAGCCTGGTAGTTGGTCATTTGACCAGAACAGAAATGAGGAGAGCTGGTAAAGGGAGAGATGTTGGAAGAGATTCTTCTCTCCTGTGTTGTTAGCTTACCTTGCCACTTAGGCTCAGCAATCTTCTCCTCAGGCATTGTTATATAGGCTTAGGGCCATATTCAGAGGGGTTCATTTGCTTATGTCCTGATTTCATGCCTTTGAAGTCCAAAGCAGGTGTGGGGGGAGTCTCCTCTCTAGGTCAGGTGTCAAAGCCTTCTGTTCTTTCCACATAGTGCGCCGCAGAGCTCTACACTTGGAACATACCAGGGACAACCACAGTGACAGTGAAGAGGAGCTTGCTGCCTTCTGTCCTCAGGTATCTTGGGTGTGGGAGGTGAACCACTGGCCAGTTTTCCTTAGCTCCCTTTCATCCATTTGGCACCTCACATTTAGGCAGTAACCACCAGGCTCATTATGGGTTCTCCAAGGCCCTCCCCTCCTTGCCCACAGAGCAGTGAGGAGAAAACCTAGTGTTATATTGGGGCTTTGTACATGGGTCTCACTTTGAGCCTGGTGACCAGCACCCCCTCTTCCATGTCTCCTTTTTACTCCATCATGGCAGAACCTCTAGAGCTGGCATGATTGTCTTTTTATTTATTTACTTTTTATTTTGGTATCATTAATATACAGTTACATGAGCAACACTGTGGTTAATAGATTCCCCCCATTATCAAGTCCCCACCACATACCCCATTACAGTCACTGTCCAGCAGCATGGCATGATTGTCTTTGAAACAGCACAGCCTACCTTAGGTCAGGCAGCATATGTATTCTCCTGGCCACCTGTGCAAAGTATTCTCTGGGTCACTTGTTTGGTTAAGAATGCATGATTGATTGACTTTCAAGACTGCTTTCCTTTCTGTGCTCAAGATTGATGAATCAAGGTGTTTTTCTTGAGGGAGCAGCCTAAAGGAATCAGGATTTTGACAAAAGCCCCCATCCATGCCTGGTTACACCACTGGCAATAGGGTAGCCTTTGGGCCCACTTATTAGTAAAGCTGTAACTGGGGAACTGCACCTGTTCCTAATGGCATCATCTCTTCAGGTTTGTCAGTCTTTTCTTTTCCCAAGCTGGATGATTCTGCTGTTGCCAGGGAATTGGCCATCACAGACTCCGAGCACTCAGATGCTGAGGTCTCCTGTACAGACAATGGCACATTCAATCTTTCACGGGGCCAAACACCTCTAACAGAAGGATCTGAAGGTGAGAACCTTGGATCTGAGTTGATGACTTTGATGGTTGCCTCTCAGCTTCCCCTGGGCAGCAAGGATACTGTCCCCTCCTCTCCTGTGTTCTGAGCTGTGGATCAGGTTGCTGAGCAGCCTTAGGATATGGCTACAGCCAGGATGACACTGCTGCTCTCCTGGAAACCCTCAGTCCCTTAGCAGCCTCAGGTTCTAGGCTCCCGGCAGGGAGAGGGTTAGGGGTGTTAGAGTAAGAGAGGGGAGTTCTCTGGCCAGTATAGGTCACACAGCACTCCATAAGTGAAGGGGAAAACCTGACCAGTGCCACAGGTTTTGTTTCACCCTGAGAAATCCAGGGTGGAAAAATATGGTTATATGGGACTGATTTTGTGGGGCTGGGGCACAGGAGGGCCAGGTAGTTGCCATGTCTCAGATATCCCTCTATTCTCCCAGACCTAGATGGTCACAGTGACCCAGAGGAATCCTTTGCCAGAGACCTTCCAGACTTCCCTTCCATTAATGTGGATCCTGCTGGCCTGGATGATGAGGATGACACTAGCATTGGGATGCCCAGCTTGATGTACCGTTCTCCACCAGGAGCTGAGGAGCCCCAGGCGCCCCCTGCTAGCCAGGCTGAGGCTGCACTGCCGGAGCTCCTGCTTGGTGTGCTGCCCACCGGATCCAACCTTACCAGCAACCTTGCCAGCTTGGTCTCCCAAGGCATGATCCAGCTGGCCTTGACAGGGGCTTCCCAGCCAGGCCCTTCTGGCCCACCTCCTCGGAGAGCAACAAGAGGCTTCCCCCGGGCCCCCAGTTCAGACCTGGACACTGATGCAGAGGGGGATGACTTTGAACTTCTGGACCAGTCAGAGCTGAATCAGCTGGACCCTGCCAGTTCCAAGAGCCACTGAGGCAGAGACTCCTTTTGGGGATCATTGAGGTTTAAGTTTTTTTTCTCCCTGTCCCACTTAAGGTGAAGGGGCAAGGGAAGAACCCAGGTCCCATCCCCTGAATTATGTTTGTGTGCTTGGTGGCCTGGCTGATGCTCAGAAGCCTGCTGAGGATACTCACTCCCCTGCTACCAGCTGGATACCCATTTCTGAGTTCAGTCACTGCATTGAGAGTATGCTCCCACAAGGGAGGCTTCTGTCCAACAGGATGGTACTTCTGGGGAACAAAGTAGTCAGGGGTACTGGTTCCCCTTTGACGGGGTGCTGCTGTTTGCTCTAGGTATGGTTGCTTGGGGGTCCTCAGTGGCAAAAGAGCCCTTCCCTTCCTTTACCTCCGTAGAGCTCCAAGTCAGGCAGCAGCTGGAAGAGTTCATTGTCATCATCCTCTTTTGCTAAGTCATGATTTGTCTTTTTTCTAAGCAAGCTTGACCTTTGGCTCTGCAGAGCAGGCCTGCTCCTTCTGCCCCCAGCCCATAATTTCTTGAGGCGTAACCCTCAGTGCTCCAAAATACCGCTTATGAAATTTAAGAAATGTGAATATGATGTTATGATGTGGGGTAAGTCTCTTTGACATTACTGTGGGCCACGGGGTCAGCTGGCTGGGAGGGTGAGTGCCTCTGTATTTCATGGTCTCATGGAATCTTCTGGAGCTGCCTGGTTATCTTTGGTGCTGTTAACCCCTGGCTCCATTTGACTATCAGCCTGAGCAGTGAGCAATAGCAATACCATAACATACCCATTTCTATGTTCCTGTTCCTTCCCCTGCTTCTCCTTTGGAGAAGCAGTAATTCCATGGGGGATGTCAAAGTAGCACTTTACAAATGGCTCAGTGGCATTCATCCCAGGAGCCACCAGCTCTTCTTGTACCAGCTATTCTTACTCTCTATTAAGCTCCTTTAATCCTTTATTTTCAACTGCTTCCCAACTTGGCAGAGCCTAGTTAAGCATAAGCCCAATTAGCAAGAATGTGTCTAATCAGCAGAAAGCCCTCTAAGGGGTCTCTCCTCCACTGCCCCTAGTAAAATCATGTGAGCCCCAAACTAAAAACGGTTATTAGTTGTAAACCTGTGCCAGTCTGTAGCCTCTGTCTGCCATCCCCAGGCAGAGCTCAAGCCAAACTCATCTGTCCTCTTGCCCTCTGCGTTAACCCTTGCTGATCCTCAGGGGCCGCTCCCCCAATACTCCCATACCTTCAGGGGACTGTGCTAACACGTTTGCTCTTGGCTGATGGATAAGGTAGAGCCAGGGAGTGAAAATTGTGAATGGTGAAGAGGGGGAAGAGCTATTCCGTTGTCACTAACCTTTATGTGAAGGTTAGAGTAACAGCATTCCCCCCACTTAAGGGTTTTCAGATGGACTCTGGACACCTCTCTTCTCTGAGCCTAGATGTCACGAGCAGGTGAACTCTGATGTGGAGAAAGAAACGGGAGATTAAGGAAAGGAGTGGGATTTTGTGTGTTTGCGTGAGTGTGTGTAGCTTCATGCCTTGGGAGTTGACAAATGGGAGGGAGGGAAGGAGAGCAAAATTTTAGGAAGGTGTTTCTTGTACCTGGGGGATCCTGCTCTGAATCTCCTTAGTCCTCCACTGTGAATTGGGGTGGGGAGCGGGGTGGGAGAGGTGCTGGGGAATAAATCTTGTATGAGAATAATCTTTTAGAGACTGATGTCTGTCAATGGTGCCCTAATCTTGATAGGTCTTTCTTGTTTATCTAAGATGTGATTAATTTGAGGTGACAGCTTCAGAAGAGGAAGCCCAGGTGTGAGGGACCCAGCTGCACATCCCTATTCGTCCTTTGTGATGGCCAGAACAATCACCGTGATGACAATTCCCGTGGGTGGTATAAGGCCACTGCCCTTCCCTAGGAGAGCCCAGACAAGAGCGTCTTGTCTGGCGTTTAGCCAGCAGTTCATTTCTAATTCTTAATATTGTCCCCTCAACGCATGAAAAGTACATGTTTCAAAGGCTAATGAGATTTTAGTTAACAGAAGGCCTAAAAAAAAAAAAGGACCATAATCTTCCTCTGGATTGTTTGAGCTGCAGGAACAGCTGCCTTTTGGCTTTCAGCTGACCTCAGAAACTAGAAATACTTATTTCAGGCTTTGTCCCACTGGCCACTGGGGGCAGGAGTGGAAAGCACCTGCCAGGTGTTGCCTTAAGATTGACTCGTAACAGGAAACTATACAAGCTTTGTGGCTTAAGAGTAGCCTTCTCCCAACCCTACCGTATATCCTAGGCGTTGAAACCACAGCGTGAGTCGGGCGCCCCCTATGTGCGAAGCAGTCAGGATTCTGCTCTTTCCAAAGCGTTTAAGCATTCTTTAGTCGTCACAACCACCCTCCTGCGAGTTCTCTCATTCCTACTTTACAGATAAGACTAGCCGACGGAAAAAGCGTTGGGCCGTGGGACAGCACACGTCCCTGTGAGTAGCTAGCCCTGTGACCTTGAGCAAGTAGCCCAGCGGCAGTTGATCCGGAGGTTTTTCCCGTTCGAACACCGCCCAGCTCAAGGTCTCGAGTGCTCAGCCGCCGCTGGAACTGAGTCTCGAAACTTGTAGGCATGACTTAAAAGTCTGCATTCCCAGGGGAAGGAAGGGAGTTCTAAGCAAGCGCCCCGCCACCTCCGCAGAGACCGGGGCCGCAGGGGTCGCGCCGGCGCAGAAGCTGCGGGCCGAAGGGAGCTACGGCGCCCAGGTAGGGTCGCTTCGTACCCGGAGACTTTCCCTTCCGCCAATCACCGTTGAGGCCTGCCCTTCCCGCCGCCGGAAGGGGCAACGGCTCCATCCGGTTTTCGGAGTTTGGTGGCGGGAAGGACCATGAGTAAAAGTCGGGCGGAAGCTACGACCGGAGGTAACGAGCCATGGGCGCCGGGGAAGTCCGGGAGGGGAGCGGGTGAGGGGGTCGGTTGAGTGGCCCTTCTCCTACCTCATCTCCTTAGCCCCCGGGATCCTCCTGAGGTACCTGCAGGAGCAGAACCGGCCCTACAGCGCCCAGGACGTGTTCGGGAACCTGCAGCGGGAACACGGACTGGGCAAGGCGGTGAGGACCCTTCCCTGGGGTTTATAGCCATGGGCTTCCTAAGGCCTGTTGGACGCGACCTTCGTCCCCAGTTGAAATTCCCCTGGCCCGAAGTCACTCCCTCGGGTTACCCCGCCCCCTCCACTCTGCCAGGCGGTGGTGAAGACGCTGGAACAGCTGGCCCAACAAGGCAAGATCAAAGAGAAGATGTACGGCAAGCAGAAGATATATTTTGCGAACCAGGTGAGGGAAAGCTGTGCAGAGCCCGACTTGAGGTGAACCAGTCCTTAGTATGAACTCTTTTTGGGAGACTTGAGGCGCTCCATGAAACTCACCTCTCTCAACCCTTTTAAAGGAGGCCCAAGCATCCATTAAATCAAGGTGTGTACTCCCTTGTTATGATCCAAATTTCATGAGATTTCCAGATTTTAAATATGATAGCTAACAGAAGATACTGAATTGTTACCAAGACTCAGTTCCGCATGGAGGTTCTTATTCCCAATCTAGATTGGAACCACCGTCTGGTGAACGACTTGCCTTTTGTCTTCACCTTCCCTAAACACATATTAATTTTGTATCTCCAGCCCAAATCTCTATCTGGATACCTTTCAGACCCTTCAGAATCAATACTGTTGAAGTAAAATGCTTTCTCTCTCCCCTAAACTGGCCCCTCTCGCATGCTCCTCCTTTAATAGAATCACTGTTCACCAAAGCTACAGACTGAGGAGTCATTCTTAACTTCCCTTACCTCACGTGCCAAGTCAGTGGTCAAGTACAGCTGATTTCCCCTTCTCAAATCCATCCTCTCCTTTGCATCTGCTATCACTGCTCTAGCTCAGTTGCTTCGCATCTATTGCAATATGGTCTGTACAGATTTCCTGGCCTCCTCAAACATACCTTAAGCGTTGTAGCCAGAATGATCTACATAGATGGAAATCTGGTCAAGCCATTTCCCCACTTAAAACAATAATGCTCTCTAGAACAGGAAAAAGGAACTTGGACACTTGGCCCCAGTCTGCCAGTAGCCTCATCTGTCATTTCTCCATCCATCAATACTAGACCAGTTAAGATGTGTTTTACTCCTGTTTGCTTTGCTTTGTCCTTCCTCCACTTGGAACTTAGTCCCTTCTTCCTCATCTGCCTTTTTGCCCAGCTAACTCTTACTTACCCTTTGGGATTCCACAGGCATCCACTTCTCCAGAAACCTTCCCTGAATGCTCTTACTGCTTTCTATTTTGAGGCATGCTGTATTATAATGTCTTCTTGTCTCCCTCACTAAACTGAAGCTCTTCTAAGGCACACCCCTTTTCTCTCATCTTCCTGTATTCAGCATCCCCATAGTGCCTAACACCCAGCAGACATGAAATACTTGTTTAACTGAACCAAACCACCATTAAGGCTAATTTTCCTAAACTAGGTTTCATTATGTTACCACTCTATTGAGGATACCCAAAGGAGAAGCTGGCAGATTTTTCCTGTAGAGCCAGTTAATATTTTCATGTTTTGCAGGCCAGATGGTCTCTTGCCACAGCTACACAAGCATCACTACTAAAGTCTGCCACTGTAGAGCAAGAACAGCCACAGACAATATGTAAATGAATGCATGTGGCTATTTCATTAAATCTGCTTTTTCAAAAACATGCAGCTGGCAGGATTTGGCTTGCTGGCTGTAGTTCACTGCCTCCTGTTCTAAAGGTTTACCATGCCTTATGTAGAGTCTAGCATTCATGTCTTTCTAACCTGCTCCCCATCACCAACTGACAACCCCACTGAGCCCCAACACAGTCCTTTTCTAGTAGGTGGTCTCTCACGGGAGGGGCTCCTCATACCTTCACCTGAGTCCCTTATCTGAATATGTGCTCCATGCCTCTTCACCTGCCCAGAATCTCCTCACTGTGGACACCCATGATTGAGGTACCACCACCTTGGGAAGAGTGTACCTTTGCTCCTTCAGCCCAGTGAGTGGTTTTACCGCTGAACTGAAAATAACTTCCTGTCCTATTTAGTATCCTGCCAACCTGGAAGTCTCAAGGACAGGCATCTGATTTCAACTCATTCCTTTCTTTTGGGACCAGTGCTAAACTGAATGATTTCTCAAAAGTACTCCCTCACCGCCCCCTATTTCCCAGGCTCTTTGGAGGGCTTGGGGAGTTCCAGGTTTTTGATTCTGTGTGAATGTTGCCTTCTCAAACATGAGTTCCTATCTTGGGCCTCACTTCATCCCACTTCTGTTCTTCATCTCTGGCAGGACCAGTTTGACATGGTGAGTGATGCTGACCTCCAGGCCCTGGATGTGAAAATCGTGGCCCTCACTGCTAAGGTGCAGTGCCTACAGCAGAGCTGCCGCCACATGGAGGCTGGTAGGACTGGGTAGCCCCTGGAAGGTGCCCCTAGGGTCAGGGTTAGTCTGGACGTCAGGAATTACTAAGTGAATGGCTTGTTGACTGCGTTGCTGTTGTAGTAGGTCCTTTGCTGGGCTGCCATGGGCATTATATTAATTGTGTAACAGCAGAATGCTTTTGAATACAAATGGGTGAGACATGCATTTGCTTTCCCTACCACAACTGTGTGTATGCTGTTTCCACACTCCCTTTATTCCTGCTGCCTTAACTGGCTACAGTTTACAGTCTATTCAGCCTCATGCTCTACCACTACTTGTATATGGAGGAGGAATGAAAACTAGAATAAACTGGTAATTCTGTAAGCTTTAATCTCCTGAGCATTTCCAGAATATGAGACCCATTCAGGACCCATTCTGGACCCACTCAGGGAGTGCCCTCTGGGAAATCTAGAACCCCTTCCTTGGGGTAGCATGTGACTTCAGGGAGATGTGGTTTCAGAGTTCAAGGAGTTAACTACTGCCCTGACCACACTGGAGATGCAGAAAGAGATCCAGGAGTTAAAGGAAGAGTGCTCTGGCTACACAGAGAGACTGCAGAACATCCGAGCAGCCACCAACCACGTGACCCCAGAAGAGAAAGAGCAGGTGAGCCGGGAGGACAGGCTGCCTGTGCAGGTCCAGGGGGAAGGTGAGGGGTGACCCCCCCAGCAGCTGCTGCGGGGCTCAGGGGTTAGAGGAACCCATTTCCCTGTCTAGGTGTACAGCGAGAGGCAGAAGTACTGCAAGGAGTGGAGGAAGCGGAAGAGGATGGTAAGTAGGAGCTCGGAGGCAGGTCTGGGAAATGACAGCCACCAGGAAACTGCTGCTCAGTATCCTGGATCCATTAGGCAGCACTGAGTCCTGCCCATCTGAAGGGTATGGTTTTGTTTTTTGTCAGGCAACAGAGCTGTCTGATGCAATCCTTGAAGGATACCCCAAGAGCAAGAAGCAGTTCTTCGTAAGTGGTTCTCTCCTTTTCTTGTTCCCCTGGGGTCATCATCCAGGGAGGTCTCATTCACTTATTCATATCCCACAGGAGGAAGTTGGGATAGAGACAGATGAAGATAACAATGTCAAGCTCCCAGACCCCTGAGAGGCAGGACTGGGGAATGGGAAGAGATGTCCTGGACTGGCTGCCTTGGGTGGTCAGCTTTTTTTGTGGCTCCTGCTGCTTGCCACCTTTGAGCAGAGCAGCTAGGAGAGGGGCATAAACCAGTGTATTAGGTGGAGGGAGGGAGTGCTGATGGCCTGGAGTGGATGGTTACATTCATTTTCATTGTCCACATTCCAATTGCTTGAGTTTAACCCTTAGACTTGGAACATGCCAAAGGACAGCATTTGGCAGTATTTATTGTAACATAATTTGATATAAAAATAATTTCCTGTGGATAATCAAACCTCCCAAATATCAAACCTGAGGAAGACAGAAGGGAGCTTGAGGACAGGGGTAGAGAAAGGCCACTATACACAGCATTCAAGGACCCCAAGGCCTCACCCAGTACTCTCCCTGGCTTGGTACCCCAGGAGCCCTTTAGATTATCTTCTTTATGTCTTTGTCCTATCTCCAAGTCTTGGGAGAAAGGCAGTACTGAGAGATGGCAGAGACCCAGATACACTTGACAGAAAGGCTGGACTTTGAAGCTCTGTTAATTTTTCAAAATTGTAATGTTAGCAAAAGTGCATTGTTGGTGTTTAGAAAAATAAAAAACTTCCATTATGTAGTGCTGTGTCACACTTGACTTCACTGTGCAGTGCTCCTGCCTGTGGGGACAAAAGGCAGGACTAGGTAGGGAGGCTGCTTCCCTCTACTGTTCAGAGCAGGGGAGGAAGGAGAGGTGATAGAGGTGAGGGCTGGAACCTGGCAGCCCTGCCCTGAGCTGGCCAGAAAAGCCCTGGCCTCACCTTGGACTGATCAGGCAGCCCTAGCCTTGTCTTTGTCCTTAATGGCTGTAAGAGTATTTCCTCTTACTCCTTTTTTCCCCTCCAACTGCCAGAATGACCAAACTTGGGCCAAATGTTGCCCAGGAGACCAAAATAGAGGCAGAGTAGTTTCCAAATATATGTAGCTAGTGAGCAGAAATCAGGTTTAGAAAAAGGGAAGCGGCCAGGAGCTCTTTGGGGTACCCGGAGCAGACTCGAGGTCTTCTATGGGGGGAGGGGAAGACTGGGTAGGGTCGAGTTCTGTGGTCAATATAATAAGTTAAAGCTTTCACAAAACAAACACCCCTGCCCCACTGAGGATGGGGGGGGGGAGCCAGACACTGATGTACAGTGTCACAGTCTCACAAGCTTGGTGTTCCGTGGCCAAGTAGGAGACTCAAGGCCTCTTACTGGCTCTTCTGCAGGTTCTGAGAGCCACTCAGTAAAGTTGGTTCTTCAATTGGTGCAGGACGCCAATCACAATCTCCCGGAGGGTCTGGTGGGGGCAGCAGAGGAAGACAGTGATGATGCTTAGGTGAGGGTACAGAACTGTCTGAGATACCTGCCTAGACCAAGTGTGCAGATACAGTACAGACTACTGTACTGTATTCAGAGTACAATGAAAAAGGTCCCTGGGAAACACTGATGTCTAGTTTACTTTGAAATGCCCCTAAAAGAGGACAGGAAGGAATGGAGAAATGGTAGCTATGTGATAAAGTAAATACAAAAAATGCTAACAGCAGGATTTAGGTGGTATAGAAGTATTCATTGTAAAATTTGGTGTTGCAGTAGGTTTAAAGTGTTTCACTTTAAAAATGTTGAGACACAAAAATGAAGTTTCTCAAGTACAAGTCAGGCTTCAGAAAAAGCAACCAAGCCTCAAAAGCAGAAGACCGCATGCAGCACTGTTAGCACACCACTCCGCTACACACAGTAATGGCAGAAGAAGCGATTCAGTGGGCCCAGGGCTACAGGCTCACTAAAATCTTTCCAAAAACTCCAAGTAATTCTGCTGCAAGTGATGCAGTCTTACATACTGGGCAGCGAGGGGTGCTAAGATGTCCATAGTGTGGGTGAAACAAAGGCTGAGAGCTAGGCTTTGCCTAAGTTGCTCGAATCATTCTTGCTGAATGAAACCTGGCCTAGAAAGCAAAGTGCTCCAAGTTGTAGAAACACCCTCAGGAATCCTAAAAGCTGCTACTCTGCCTCTCTGAACAAATAATAGCCGGGGTCATTTTACCTGAGGCTGTAGGGAACAGACCCCAGACCCCGTGAGCACTGCTGCCCCATACCTGTGGCTTACAGTGCTCCTCAATCCAGCTGAAGACACAAGCCGACAGCTCCTGGAAGCTGGCCACGGAAATGGAGGCATTGAAAGACTGGAACAGGGAGTCCATGATGCCCTGAAACACGTTGAACTTGACCTGGTCCGAGACCTGGTCCTCCCCCTCATGGGGATTGTCCTGGTGTGCCTTCACGATCTGCTCATAGTTCCTGAAAGCGGGCAGGCCAAGGCTAAGTGCTGCAGCAGCTCTAGCAGCCCGGGAAGAACAGGGTGACCTTGTGTACTCCTCCATGAAGGGGACTCCCACAGAGCTCTGGGGGTGTACTTAACAGCTAGATAGTGCTTCAAGGTCAGAAGTGGGGACCCACCCACTCCAACATTTCCTGCATTACTCCGACAGGCATTCCAGAGTCTGCCATGTGGGGACTGCTCGGGTACAGAGGCCTGCCTCAGTGGCCTCCTGAGGGAGTGAGAGTATTATCTATCCGTCTTACCTGAGGTAGCTTTTGAACAAGGGGGCGGGGGACGGGTGTGAACTGCAGTCAGCCTGAGTCCTCTCAGAAGCCCTGGTTCCCCCAATTCCGCATCCCCCTTACACTTTCATGATCTTGAGGGCCATGACGTCCTTGCGCAGTGTGGATACCTCCTCCTCTTGCTTTTTCTTCTCCTTGTGCAAAAACTGGATGTAGTCGATGGCTAGGGTGGGGGTGGGCACAGAGGAAGTCTCAGCCAGGACAAAGCTGACTTGTTTCTCTTCCCCCCTGCCCCAACTCTCCCATTATAACCATCCCACCAGCGCCAGGCCGAAAGTGTGTACTAGGCTCTGGTCCCTTCACAAGCCCTATTGGCTCCAACCCCTCCAGTGCTCTCCCTGGTCATACTCTTCTGTAGAACGATGGCTTTGCTGAGCTTTTGAGACCCAATGGAGAAGTCCTGCTGTTGGCAGGTGGGGACGATGGTCTGAAGGTCATCATAGCCTCTCTGTGGAGATAGCAGGGGAAATGGTTTCTTTAACTGAGGGGTTAAGGCAAACTGGCACAAAACTTTTCTTTCAGAAACTAAGCTCCATGCTGACAAACTTAAAGGGGTTGGGGCTGGACGGAGGGAGGTATTCATGTCCAGGGACTAGACAAGCTGCCTTCGAGACTGCTTGGGACTGTGAAGAGATCAGGGCAGAGTGAATCTGAAAGACACAGGGCTCTCCTGTGCTGGCTGAGGCACCAGCCTCCCCAGTCACCTTGATAGCGTCCCTCCTCTTCTGCTCAGCCTGCGTATGTGCTCGCCGCCGCCGGTCCTTGTAAGACTCCTTGTAGGACTCCTGGTGGTAATCACTGTCCTCGTCATCTACACTCAAAGTGGGGGCAAGAAGACGTCATCTTGGGGCCTAGTGGGGTCTAGCTATCCCACCTTAATCCCAGCTAGGAAGATGATCCTGGTGCCCAGAGATGGCAGGTGGACAGAAGAACCTAATATCCTAGATGAGGTGGAAGATGGAAACACCCTGTGTCTAGTACTAGGGTTCCAGCACCCTGTGTGGATGGCTGGAGCTTCCTGTCTAGGAAAGATACTAAAATGATGGCATATCTGAGCTCCCCCAGGTGGGGGAAATGTTGCTGCCTACCTGTGTTAGGGACGGAAGAGGCACTGGTGGAACCGATGCTATTAGCTCTGGACACTACACTCCCCTTGCGGGTACTTTCTACAAAAAGCCCTGGAAAAGAGAGGCCCCAATCACTAAGGGGTAGGGTTGAGGGACACTGCTAGGCCCTCAGACATTCGTGGGCTCAATGGCTTCACGATCCTTAAATGTTAACTTCTTCCTTCAACCCAAAGCCAGCCATACTGGGCCACCCACTTCCTGTCATGCCCCTCTGCAATGCTCCTGTCCCTCGTGTCTATACCGCTCCACAGGCTTACAGTGATACCCTCTGGTTCATGCAGTGTCATCCAGGCATGATGAAAGCGAGAGTGACCAGCTGTCACTACTTCCATCACACCCCTGCTCCAGAACAGAGGGAACTAGGTGTCACCCCTTGATGCTTACTGCCCCTGTCCTCCAGCTCCTCCCTCACTGTCTCAGGCCAGGAACTCGGCTCAGGAACAGTGGACTGTTCTCAGGTGTCGCTGGCAAGACCAAGCCAACCTACAGGGCTAAATCAGGAGTAATCCCTCTGGAGCCGAAAATAGTGGGGGAGGCACTCACCGGGGTCCAGGCTGTTGTCACTGTAGGCATACTCCACCTGTGGCACCAAGCAAGGGAGAAGCCCATCATACCTCTGCCCGTGGGGGAAGGCGCTTCCACTCACCATGCCCACGCACGTACCCACGCACCTGGGGGGCTGCGCAGGCAACTGGATTCTCCTAAGAGCCAAAAACGGCTAGGCGTAGGAGCGCCGCCCTCTGCCTGATCCCGTCCGCCCTCACTCCACGTCCCCAGGCCCCAAACCCTGTCCCCTCACACTCGCGCACACACGCCGCAGTTGTCTCCCCACCCTGGCACGCGCGGGGTGAGAGCGGTCTTCTCTGCAACCCGGGGCCGGGATTGCAGTGGGGACTTTGGGGATGGCAGAGAATCCCCTCCTCTTCCAGACCCCTTACGTGCGCGAACCCGACCCGCCCTCCCCTCGCAGCTCCACGGGGCTTGCCTTGACCCAGGGGTCCTCCGGAGAGGCGCTCGACTCCGTCATCTCAGACCCACCAAACCGGAAACCAGAGAGCGGTCAGGCCCCCTGCGGCGAGGAAGAGGCGAAGCGCCCGCGTGACCCAAACCCACCAACCCGCGACCGGGAGGCGTAGGACGGGGTGCCGCGCATGCGCAGCCCGCAGACACAGGCAGCGGGTTCAACTTACTGTGCCGGATGACAGAGGCAGCCTCAGGGACGTCGCCCAGGGGTTCGTTCCCTCAAGAGGCTTGTCCGAACATGGTCGCAGCCATCTGTGTGTGTGCGCGCGCACTGCCCGGCCCAGCCGGCTCCCGAGCAGCCCTCCATGCCACCCGGACCCTGTCTGGCTGCAAGCTCCGTGTGGGCAGAGGCTCCGCCTGGCTCTTTTAAAGACAGTCCTCCAATACCCAGTCATACAGGATACTTGTGGAATTAACGTTTTCAAAGAGCCCGTTGGCCAAGTTATGCCACTTTATAGATAAGGCAAACTGAGGTACCTATAAAGTACACAACTATCCACATGCACATAGCTAGTCAGTGATAGGGCCAAGGCTGACGTCACTTGGACTAGGTAGCTTTAAAAGCCAAGCTCTTAATCACTTAACTCCCGGCTTCCAGCTCAGGTCTGGACTCTGCACTCACAGCTCAAGGGTCTCAAAGATTACCCGGAGGCATTGGAGCAGAAAGCAGACACTATACAGGTAGCACCTGGAAACATTCACCTTTAATTCTGTTACAAGTTCTGGTGTTGCCCTGGCCCCAGTCAGCCATAGGTATCACAGGCACCTGTGGGCAAGGGTGCGGACAGGAGCCAAAGGGGCCTGCTCCCCCATGGGCACATCCTCTGTGTTGGCCAAACACCAGCAAGCTGGGTAGGTTTCCTGTGTCCACCAGCCCCAGCGCTGTCCTGCCCAGTTTAGCTCAAAGAGCCCTCTAGGCCCACACTAGGATGAGCAAAAGGCCCGCAATTCTCCTCACCACTGGATCTGTCAGCTCTAGAAGCCAGTCTGGCCCCAGAGAAAACTCGTTGTCAGTCACGGGTCTGATGATGCTTCGGGAATGCGCTTCTGCAGGAGGGCCCATTCCACGGGGCTTGCCTTGACCCAGGGGTCCTCCGGAGAGGCGCTCGACTCCGTCATCTCAGACCCACCAAACCGGAAACCAGAGAGCGGTCAGGCCCCCTGCGGCGAGGAAGAGGCGAAGCGCCCGCGTGACCCAAACCCACCAACCCGCGACCGGGAGGCGTAGGGCGGGGTGCCGCGCATGCGCAGCCCGCAGACACAGGCAGCGGGTTCAACTTACTGTGCCGGATGACAGAGGCAGCCTCAGGGACGTCGCCCAGGGGTTCGTTCCCTCAAGAGGCTTGTCCGAACATGGTCGCAGCCATCTGTGTGTGTGCGCGCGCACTGCCCGGCCCAGCCGGCTCCCGAGCAGCCCTCCATGCCACCCGGACCCTGTCTGGCTGCAAGCTCCGTGTGGGCAGAGGCTCCGCCTGGCTCTTTTAAAGACAGTCCTCCAATACCCAGTCATACAGGATACTTGTGGAATTAACGTTTTCAAAGAGCCCGTTGGCCAAGTTATGCCACTTTATAGATAAGGCAAACTGAGGTACCTATAAAGTACACAACTATCCACATGCACATAGCTAGTCAGTGATAGGGCCAAGGCTGACGTCACTTGGACTAGGTAGCTTTAAAAGCCAAGCTCTTAATCACTTAACTCCCGGCTTCCAGCTCAGGTCTGGACTCTGCACTCACAGCTCAAGGGTCTCAAAGATTACCCGGAGGCATTGGAGCAGAAAGCAGACACTATACAGGTAGCACCTGGAAACATTCACCTTTAATTCTGTTACAAGTTCTGGTGTTGCCCTGGCCCCAGTCAGCCATAGGTATCACAGGCACCTGTGGGCAAGGGTGCGGACAGGAGCCAAAGGGGCCTGCTCCCCCATGGGCACATCCTCTGTGTTGGCCAAACACCAGCAAGCTGGGTAGGTTTCCTGTGTCCACCAGCCCCAGCGCTGTCCTGCCCAGTTTAGCTCAAGGAGCCCTCTAGGCCCACACTAGGATGAGCAAAAGGCCCGCAATTCTCCTCACCACTGGATCTGTCAGCTCTAGAAGCCAGTCTGGCCCCAGAGAAAACTCGTTGTCAGTCACGGGTCTGATGATGCTTCGGGAATGCGCTTCTGCAGGAGGGCCCAGGCTTTCTCCACCTTTGGGCAGGCCAGAATGTTCAGAGGAAGAGAAATGTTGGGTCAGGGCAGCACTCACTGGAGACTCCCTCCCCACAACCCAGCCTGGGCACCAACCTGGCGCTGAGTAACGTGTGGCTCCCACAAAGTGCTCAGCACCACATGGCTCTGGTCTACAAGCTGCTGTCCACTCATCTGGCTCTGTAATCGACTTCGAGCCGCAGCCTCACTCAGGCCATCCCTCTCCACGATGCGTTGCACAGCCTGGGCATCGATGAGGGATTTATCAGCCCACTGGCTCAGATCACGATGCAGATTACAGTGAGGGTAGGATAGGAGGTAGGGTCCAGATACCTCAGTCTCAGGGATGACAACAGTCCACACCTCATGCACCATGTTCTGCCAGCCGGCTTCAAGCAGCATGGCGGCATCAATCACGCACACATGCTTTCCTGTGGGAAGACCCCAGTCACTGCCAGCAGCACCCTGCCACTTGCTACCAGTCAGAGAGCCACAAAACATAGTCCTAGGGAAAGTGGATAGTCTGGCTTGGGATGGGGAAGCTCCTGGGGTGAGAATCTGCTTAACTGTCCCCCTTGGCCACTCCCATCATCCCTCCCACTCACCCTTAGCCACAGCCTGATCCATCTCCTCTCGAGCCAGCTTTGCGATAACTGGCCACATAATATCTGTGAGTATCTTCAGCTGCTTCTAAGGAGGGGAATAGAGGAAATGGGCAGAGTTTATCTTCCCTCAGGGATGGAGCCAGTCCGAGGGAGGAGGTATTTAGGAACAGATGAGTGGAAATTAGCATTCTAGGCCAGACCAGAGAGGTCCACTGGGTCTCAACCTCTGGTCTAGTAGCAACTGGAGTCCTTGGAGAGGTGTATCTTTACCTTGTTCCCAAACACCCGGCTGCCTAGGACCTTCCTGTTGATAATGCCGTCTTTATGAAGAATATCTGGATGACAGAGACAGAGGACTGGGCAAGGCAGCCAGGCCATCTCCTCACTTCAGGCCACCTCCAGCCCTCCCCACTTATTACCTGTTCCAAAGGCTTCCACAACTGGCTGATAGGCAGGACCGCCTGGGGCATAGGCCCGGTGGCCCAGGTGGTCACTGTCAATGACAAATGCCCCCAGGCTCTTAAGCCGCTGAGCAACTGAGCTCTTCCCGGAGCCACTGATGCCCGTCAGACCAATCACGTAGAGATTTAGGGGGAGCTCTGGCCTCTTCTGGGAGTATATGAGAGAGAACCCCATAGCCATGAGGGTCCTCAGACTCTGCTTGGAACTGAGCTTGCAGTCTCTGCTCCCCAGCATTTCCAGCCCACTTCCAAGCACAGGGGAGGGAGGGCAGGCTTACGTGTGGAGGCCGAAGCAGGCTTCCCAGCATTCGCTGGCGGAAGCTGGAGGAGCTGACTTTGTCCTCTTCATTCTCCTTGTGGCTTGGGTCCTTGAGCAGTTGGATCTTGTGTAAGGCAAGCTCCTCCAGGTCCTGCAGTAAAGGAAGAGGGGTGAGGAGAGGAAGGGAAAAAAGAGGGATAAACACCAACACCCAACCTATCCCCTTATCCTCCCCTACCTACCCAGAGCTTGCCTCAGAGGGCAGGCTGGAAACCAGTTCCTCCTTGCCCCTCTTCACCACCCCGAGGCCTCTCTTCCCTCCTCTGGAGTCATGGTACTTCCAAGGGGCCTCCCCAGTGTCCTTCCCCATCCCCATCCACTCCCTCTGCCAGTCTCCCTCAGGGGTTACATTCTCAAGGCGGAAGCGGTTGACGGCCATCCCCCCACGATAGGTCTCCTCGCTGACCACCAGGAACTCCAGGGAGGGGTCAGAGCCAGCGGGCCCATAGGGGTCCAGCAGGGGGATGATATCAAAAGTCAAGGAGGGCTTGATGTCCACCAGGAACTCACTCAGATGTTCCACACGTTCTGCATAGGGTTGGAGCAGCTCAGGGAGCAACTTGCCTGGGGAAGGAGCCCAGAACAGTGAGATCATTTTCCTAGGAAAAGTGTGGGCCAGTTTGGGGAAGGTGCCCCTAAGCACCCTACCTCGAGAGAGGGGTGGCAGGAAGAAAGGGCTAACCTGGGGGCTATAAGGAGGCAGTAGGTAAGGAACAATAGTTGCTGCAAGGCCTGGCACATGCCCAGAGAACTAGCAGTGCAAGTGGGCCTCAGACTCAGGTGGAGAATTCCAAGAACCACACCATCCACAAGTCCCCTCTTACTGGCACTAGAACCATTTATTTACTCATCCTTTTATTCCCAGGGTCTCAAACTAAGGGTTCACCTGGAGAACTTGTTAAAAGCACAGATCTCTTGGCTCCCCATTTGGGGAATTCTCCTTCACTGGTGACTAGACCACACACTAAGAAAGCTGCACTTACTCATGTAACACAATTTCCTTAGCACCAAGTGAGGGCCAGGCACTATCACATTTGGGAGGGGCGGAAGTAATGGATGGCCCCACACTTTCTTAATTTTGACATGGGATGGAGGATGTTGAGCAAGGAGTTTTGGGGGTCCTCCCCTGCCCTAGTCCAGAGTCTCTCTCACTCACTCTTCAACAGGTCTTTGTCAGCTACTCCCACTACAAGCTGCTCCTGGGCCAAGATGCACGCGACACTGAGCAACACCTTGTGGGCATTGTGCAGGCGGTCAAACGTGCCACCCACAGCCCCACGGTGGTAGCCACGCACTGGCTGTTTTGGAGACCTGGCCACAGGGGAGGCTGGCCTGATGGCGGAGGGTAAGGGGACATCCAGGGGCTCCATGGGCAGCTCTCCAGGCCCACAATCGGGGTATAGCAGCACTGAGGCCAGTTGTGGACAACAGCTGTAACAGCTGGTGGCATAACGCTCTAGCTGTTGCTTGACCGGGTTGTACTGGCTTCCATCCAGGGTCTGGAAGTCAGTTAGCACCACTTCCGGCGGGTGAGCCAGGTTTTGGACCGAGCTGGGCAGGGGAGGGACAAAGGCACTCTTGGCTCGGATATTGGTCAGCAGGATTCTGACATCCAGGTGCCTGTGGACGTTGGCACCAGCGTAGAGGTGCGTGATGAAATCGAGAACCTCAAATGTGGCCTGCACGAGGCTGGACTGGGGCTGAGCTGAGCCTTCCAGACTCATGCCCGGCTGCAGGTGTACATAAAGCGTGTGATTCACCAGCCGGGCCGCCGCGGTCAGGATTGGGGCCAGACGAGGGGCCAGGGTGGCCAGCGGCGTCGTTAACACCAGGAGGCCCGACCGGAATCCGGCCATGCTGCCTAGGCCTGTAGACAGTCAAAACAGAGACGAGTGGTTATGTGGCTGAGGCCAAAGACTGTAGGGGGGGGCCTTGGACCTAAGATTGGGGACCTGGAACAGGGACGGGGTCTCGGTGTGACCGATAGGAACCCGGGGAAGGGGACGGGGCCTGGTAACGGCACCTTGGGGCTGTGCTCTAAGCTCCGGTTCTCTCATTTCTCAGACGGTGAATTCGCTAAACTGAATAGAAACCTTGGGAAGGGGATACTGAACGGGAGCCCCCGAGTCATAGGACTGGGGATCCAAAAATCCTGAGCCCTCTTGCTAAGCTGTACCAGGGTCTTCAAGTCACCGGGGAGAGGACTAAAAGGGAACGCTCGGGCTCGGATCGGTCCCCTACTTACTGAGACCTTCGGGCTTTAGTTTCGCGAGCACGGCCGCGGAGGATAACCCGGCTGCAACCCGGAAACACCAACCCCGGAGCTGCTATTCTGAGCTACGGAAACTGAGAATGGCCAAAAGTTTTAACTTCGGTTATGGGCGGGATTCTCGCGAGATTTTAAATGGGGTAGGAGTGCCCTGCCGTTGGGAGGAGGACAGATTTGGAGGCTTGGGAGATGGGAGGAAAAATAAGAATTCTTTTTCCCAGATCTCAACCACACGGGGACGGCACAGGCGGGCGAGATCAAGGCGGGCCTGAAAGCCCATTTCACAGATGCCTTTAAGACCCTGAAAGAAGAGAGATTGACTTCAGCCAGGTCACCCAGGAGACTAATTCATAAATTAGTTGGTTTTCCTTCTTAATAAATTACGGGAACGGAGGTGGTAGGTAACAGGGTAGCACTTAAATTAGGGCTTGGCCTACCCAAAGCCCTCCTGGCGACTTCCTTATCCAATAATCCTCACGTGGAGGGCACAGGACAGTTGTGTGCAAGTCCCCATTTCACAGATAGGAATTGCGGTCCTGTATTTTCCAGGGACAGATAGGTAATGAAAGAGGCCAGGTCCTGTGGCTCACGTGGGATACTCTCCACACCAACCAGAACTTGCCATGCGCCAGGTTGGGAGCAGGGAGTAGGAGCTGCGCGTCTGCTCTGGAGGGCAGCCAGACGATGGAATTGAGGGCGGCCCTCGCGTCTGGAGTTTGCCCTGAAGCTAATGAGTGTGGAAGGGCTGGAATTGGTAGTCTCCAGTGGGAGAAGAAGCCAGGTTGCCATCGGGAAGCATTTCAGGAATACTGTCCACAGGTACCTCAAAAGGGAGGGAAACCAATCTCCAAGATTCCAGTAATGTGCTGTGGTTTATTTTCCCAGACTAAATAAATGCTCACTTTCATAATTATGTGCTTGTTTTCTGTATTCTTAAAGAGGTTTCCCCAGAAGTGTATAAGCCTCTGGCCCCAAAGAACTTGGATCTGCCCTGGGGTCAGGGATGGAAGCGTATAGGTAATAGATACAGAGGCCAGATTTCTTGCAAGAGACTTCTCAAGCTGGATTTTAAAGAGAAGACCCAATTTGAAGAAGCAAACTGCAAAGATGGGAAGGAAATCCTTGAAACAGTCTCAAATCCCTTCACAAAGTCACAGTTAAAAGTGGTTATTGAGAGGATGTGATAACGGGTTGATGGACCTGAGCAATCAGAAGCTCCTCACCCACTCTCCCATCTTTGGAATATGTTCTGTCAGCTGTAACTACACAGCAGGGCCCAGCCTTGAGAGAACAATGTATTGTTGGGACCATTTGAATTGTATACATGTCTGAAACCAGTTAAGGCCTATGTACAAAGATTCTGGCAGGCCAGTGTGGAGATGTACTTGTTTTGTAGCCACCCAGGATAAGCCTCATGGCTAAGTCCCCTTGCTTATTAAAACTGCCCCCTACCAATCTGGAGTGGTTTGCCTCTTTCTTTGGTCTCTCCTTGACTTTTGTTTAAGGGGGTCAGTGTCAGATTTCACCAGAGGGAACTCCCCAGATTGCAAACCAACAGTCTTTTATTCAATAAATGTGTGTGCCTCCCATAATCAGGAATGGTTCTAGGCACAAGGGATCAACCAGGGAACAAAATAAAGTCCCTGTCCTCTTGGAGATTAGACTCCTGTGTCTTGGGATGGAATGGCGAGGGCTATAAATCTAAAACAAAGTCAACAAATAATTTTATAACACATCTAGCGGTGATAAGTGCTATGAAGAAAAATTTTAAAAAGCAAAAGGACTATAGCAGAGGGGAAGGAATGTTGTTTTAGATAGGGTCATCTAGGAAAATAGCAAAGACCTAAAGGAAGAGAAGGAACCAAGAGATCAGGGAAAGTGAACCAGATAGAGGGAACAGCCAATTCAAAGGCCTTGGGGCAGGCCAGCAGGACTGAATCAGATGATAGAGCGTGATTACAGATAAGATCAGAAAGAAGGCAGGGGCCAAATCAGAGAAGGTGTTGGAGGCCTTGGGGAAAAACCTTGTATTTTATCGAGATAGGAACCCACAGGAGGTTTGAACAGAGACATGAAATAATCAGACTTTCAGTTTTAAAAGATCATTCTGTCTGCACTGTGTAAATTTTACTGTTGGTGGGCAAGGGTAGAATCAGGGAAAGTACTTAGGAAGCTCCTGTACTAAACCAGGAGATGACAGCGCATGGACTAGTGATTTCCAAATATACTTTGAAGACTGAAGGTAGAGCTATCAGTATTTACTGATGGATTGGTTGAGGGGTAATAGAAAGACTGGAGTCAAGGATTATTTTAAGAGTTTTGGACTGAGCAACTGGAAGAATGGAGCTGTCATATACTGAAGTGGGGAAGGCTGGGGGAGGAGCAGGCAGGAGGGTTGGAAATCAGGAAGGGGGTTTGGACATATTAATTTTGTTAGACATCAAGTGGAGATGTTGAGTAAGGGGTTGGAGATATTTAAGCCTGGCATTTGTAGGAGACCATGGAGTTGGAGATAGGTGGGAATTTTTGGTGGGGGCTATCAACATATAAATGGTATTTGAAGTCATGAGACTGCATATTATTAAGAGAATAAATGTAAGGAAGAGAGAGGGGTTACACTTTGTCTTTCTCATCATCGCGTCCCCCTGCCCCTAGGGGTGATCTTGTGAGTGCGTGCATATATACACACACACATACACACACATACACACTCTCACACAGAGGTGCAAAGGAACAGCTCTGAACGTAGGTCCCTTGCCTCAGAGATTCATGCCACCTTGGCCCTTCGCCCTTTCTGTGGCCTTCCTGAATGCTGCAGGGACTGCAGATCCATCTGGGCCTGCAGGGCAGGGAGATAGGTAAGGATGGGGTGGCTGAAGCCCTCCTGAACCTTCCCCCAGGAGTAGAAGCGTCAGGCAGTCCAATCGCCCAGAAAGGGCCATTATTTGAGGGTAAGGGCAGGTCAGGATGCAGCACCTCCTACCACCAAGGTCCCACACAAAGTCTCCAGAACCCCAGTAAGTTCCCTACTATTCCAGGCTCTCTACAGCCAAGCCCCTACCCACTCCAGATGATCCCCCTCTCCCTCCCTTACCCTCCCTCAGTACCATCCCCTCCTGGGGCCTCCTTGCTCCTTTCCACCTCTTACAACCTTCTCACCTAGTCTCCATCTGTTCTCCACTCTCCCCCGCAACCCTACCTCGGAGACTGTGACTCTACAACCCCAACTACTCTTTCAGTGGCTCCTGCCCCTGGTTTCAGGAAGGACAGAACATTGGGCAGACCAGCCAGGCCTGGAGCCTCAGCTAAACCTCCTAGTGAGAAGAGGCTTCTGGGCTGTTGGGGATCTTTCAAACAGAGTTTTGTCTAGGGCAGGGGGCAAGGACAAGAGTGAGTGGGGCTGCCTCCTTTTGACGCACTTAGCCTTGTTTCTTATTTACACATCTGTCTTCTGCATGGGAATACAATTACGAAAGTAATACTACTAATGGTAATAACAGTCGTGTCTGCTATTAAGACCTCTATGGCAGCACTTTCATGCATTCTCTCAATTAATCTTTAATACAATCCATGACATAGGTATTATACCCATTTTACAGATTAAAAGACAGACTCCGGGTAAGAAACTTGCCTGAGGTCCCATGGCTAGAGGCAGCCAAGTCACAACAGACTCTCTCCCCACCCAGTCTAACTTCTTTTGCTGCAGACACCCCTTGGGAATCCAGGGACCACTCTCGTCCCTGCCATGCCCTGTGGTGTACTTGAGGTGTAACCCTGGGGCCCCTTCCTCTTTCTGGGCTTTGGTTTCCTCGTAGTTATAACTGAGGGTGACACGATCTTTCCTGATCACCCACCCGCTGCGTGTGCCACTTGTAGCACAAGGACAGTGCAGCCAGGAGCCCCACTCTATCCCTCAGAATCGCACACCCCCAGGGGCGCAAAGGAGAGCGCGGGACACTGCAGCGAACCAAGCAAGCCTTTACCGAGGGGCGGCAGGAGGAGCACCGAGCTCGGGACCCCCGAGCTCTTCAGCTCCAGCCTCCTCAGGGGTGCCCTCTGGACCCTCAGCGGCCTCGTCGTTGAACACTGTGCGGTGCATGGCGGTGACGTAGCTGCAGCCGCTGGGGTCGTCGAGGCGTAGACGCGCCAGGGGCAGGAAGCGCTCTGTGCTGAAGTAGCGCAGGGCGGGCTTCGGGGCGCGCAGCGCGGTGAGGAAGACCTGCGGCGGCGGGAGGAAGCGCGCTGGCAGGGGCCGGGCACCGGGACTCGCCTTCCGCCCCCGCTCCCGGAGCCCCGCGCGGCGCCCACCTCTGTCACCTCCTCCGGGTCCTGGGCCGCTTCCCGGTAGATCCGCTCGCAGTGGCGCTGGTAGCGTCTAAAGAGGTCGCGGGTCTCGGGGTCCGTCGCGTCCAGCGCTCCGCCCTCCAGCTTCTCCTGGAAAGCGGTGCGCACCGGGCCGCACTCGATGATGCTCACGCTGCGGGCCCGAGAGCGGCGAGTGGGCGGGGGCGAGGGCAGAGGCGAGACCGGCCGGGACCCCGAGCGCCGCGGCCGCGCCGGGAAGGGGGTCTGCGCGCGCGCGGCGAGCGCCAAGAATGAACGAGCGCGTTTGAAAAGCGGTTTACCGCCAAAGGAGCGCTCCCACATCCATCAGAGGGTGTGAGAGAATCTGGTGTCAGCCAGCTGGCTGAGCCACTTACAGCTCTGTGACTTTGGGCCAGTTACCTAACCTCTCTGCGTCTGAGGTTCCCAACAATACCTACGCTTCATCAGCTAGGTGGACAGATGGAATGAGGTCACGCGTGCCAAGTGCCCAGTGCAGTGTCTGGTGCACAACAAATGCGAGCCGCGGTAGGGAGAGGCCAGGGGGAACGTCTGAGAGCAGCTCCAACGAGAGGGTGCTGGCATTCCCAAAGTCAGGGTTCCGAGGGGTCCTGGGGCGGGGCAGTGACTCACTGGACTCCGAAAGGCGGCAGCAGAACAGCCAGACTCTCGCATAGCCCTTCGAGGGCAAACTTGCTGGCGCAGTAAACGGCGTTGAAAGGCAGCCCTTGGAAGGGAGAGGACACTGCTGAGGTGCGTAGGGGAAGAGGTCCGGGGAGAGCCCCAGCCGCCATCCTCCTCAGGCCCCGCTCCTTCCCTACGCCCTGCCCCCTCCCTTACACTCACCCATCAAGCCTCCCACGCTCCCGGTCACTAACACGCGTCCGGAACGGCGGCGCTTCATGTCTGGCAGGAAGGCCTGCAGCGTCCGCACCGTCCCGGCCACGTTCACGTCCAGCAACGAACCCACGGCGTCCGCCCCGTGCACCTCTATCGGCCCGAGCAGGCCCCGGCCCGCGTTACACACTGCGGGGAGAGAGGCCCAACCCCACCTGCCTCAGGCACTGCTCTCCTCCCTGGCTGGCTCCCTAGCGTTCCTTGGGCCTCGGGCCTTGTTCTGGACACAGGGTGCGGAAGGCTTCTGTACATTCGTTGCAGGAAGGCTTACCCAGCACATCCACGCGGCCCTCAGTCACACGTTCCCGGGCAGCGGCTATGGAACCTGCGTCCCTCACGTCCAGCTGCAACGTCTCCAGGGAGCCAGGAGGGCACCTTCGAGACCAGGCTGCCTCCCACAGCAGGCCTTGTGTGTTCAGGTCCCGTAGTGTGGCATATACTGGAGGGAGAGGACGAGGGCCTGAATTCCCTGCTTACCCCTACCTAGGTCACCCTGGACCAGGGGCTACACTTTCTCTCCATCCAGGTCCCCTCATGTACCTTTGAAGCTCTGAGATGGGTCGGACGCCAGCCGCAGGGCCAGGTGCAGGCCGATGCCTGAGGAGCAGCCGGTGATTAGCACCACGGTGCGGTCCATGGGGAGACGTGTGGAGTGAATCCCAGGGAGTGCTAGGCTCTGGTCTCTGGTCTGGATATCACCTGCTTTGCCCCACCCCTGCCCGCTGGGGTCCCCACCCCTTGTTGTGTCTGCTGCACAATCTCAAGGCTGAGCCCTCCTGTAGGTCCCTAGCCTGCTCTCCCAACCCTGTTTAGGTCAAGATAGAAATGAGGCCACTGCTTGGAACATCCTTTCTTTAGTTGCAGGTTGGAGGAAGCTTTGCAAGCAGGAGGTGTGGGCTTCCGTGTTGGGCACTGGGTGTCCCAGACAGATCTTCCCCCGGGTGTGTGTCTGTCCCACATGGACAATTATAATTCCCAAACTTTGCTGCTGTGTGAAAGTAAATGCTTTGGGAGGCATTCTCAGTTCAAAGGCCAGGGATTAATGTTAAAAATGGGGAGGTTGAGGCAAGGGGGGCAGGAAGAACTTGTCCCACACTAGGATCCACACTATAGCACTGGGTCCTCACAGGCACGGTGGCATTGACATTCTGACAGATGCCCAGGTGACACGAGTTTATTATGTTGTATTAAAACAGTACTTTGATCCCAAATTTGGGATGGTGGTGGAAGGCAGCTAGCTCACCTCCCTCCAAACGTCCCATGCCTGATCCCACTGGCAGGTCTTGAATTCCTTCTTCCAGGCCTGAGGCCCTCCTGTGTCACTTGTCTAGCTCCCGGCTCTGGGAACCTGCCTAGGCCTGCAGCTTGGGGAGAACATGGCCCAGGGGTGCTGCATCTGTCACAAGGCACCAGCCACCCACCGGGGGTAATACTTGAGGAAGAGCTTCTTGGCCAGGTCCACCGTGTCACCGTGGGGCTGGCTGGGATACCTCCGCGTGCTGTGGACGAAGGTCTGCCCCACCTGGAAGGCATTCCGCTCGAACTGGTGCTGCTGGAAGGGGATGCCTTGGACCAAGCTCTCAACCAGCATCTTCACAAAGAGCTGCCAGCGGGGAGCGTAGTAGTCGGCCACCAGTCCTGCCAGCTGTTTGTTGGCGTAGTCTAGGATGTTGCCTTCTGGCCCCCACAGGGTCAGCTGGTAGCGGCTATTCTGCTCATAGAAATGGGCCTCAGCCTCACTGACAGCTGCTGCCCGAGCCTGCTCCAGCCAGCTGCCCAGCAGGAAGCGGCTGTCACTAGACAGCACGTTGTCCAGTGTGGGCAGAAGATCGTAGGCCAGGATGCCTGCCACCCTCAACAAGGGAACCAGCTCCTTTTTCAGGTAGGCAGTCCTTGCTTCCTCATAGTACAGGCTGACCAGCTCCTGGGCCGCCTGGCGAGTGAGATCCAGCAGGTCATAGCGGAAGGCCGGGCTGCCGGCCAAGGTGGGAGCAGCTATTAGCAGCAGCCTCCAGGCTTCAAATACATCTGACCGGTTGTACCAGACAGTGGTAAGCATGTGTAAGGATGGCCGCCTAACCAGTGGGCTGCGATTGTGCCCACTGCAGGCCTGGCTGGAGCAGTTGTAGACACTCCTGAGAAGCAGCCTCCATGCTGCCTCTGAGTCTCTGTGGGAGACCCCATACCGCTGGGCTGCAAAGTTGGTCACCCAGGCGCCTAAATCTGCCACTGGGTCCTTCCTCCAGCCTAGCTCAGCCATGAGGGCATAGACCACTTCGTTCTGGCCAATGCCCTCAGGTGCCATGCCTGTGCCTACCATGGTGGAGTTGGGGAAGAGACGGGCAGCCGTGGGGCCTTGGTTCACTGCTTCCAGTGCCCCGAACAGGCCATGGTTACCCCCAAAGTTATGCAGCATGCACCAGATGAAGGGCTGGCCCTGGAAGGAGGCTGTGCGGATGTACACAGGCTGGCTCTCAGCAAACAGGTCCAGAACCAGGAGGCGGCCAAGGGGTACTGCTCCCAGCACAGCCTCCACCTGGACAGGCCCCCAGAACTGTGGCTGGTGCTGGAAGAGCCAGCCTTGGAGCAGCCACACGGCATCAGGGTCCACTGTGGTTTGGGGGGAGGGCACAAAAAAGAGAGCTGATGAGAAGAGAGGGACCCAGTGGAACATTCACCTCATTCTACAGGTGAGGAAACAGAGGTCCACAGACGTGAACTGACTGTATCACGGGACACTCCTTCTGCAAACCCCCCAAACAGCAGGGCATTCCACCGTACGTGCCCTGGGTTCACTCCTCTGCTTCCCACCGGGAGCTCCAGGCCGGTATTGTCAAGCTTTAGGGGAAGTCAGAATTACCTGCAGGGGGTGGGGGTGCAGCAGAGGGACAGTTAAAAGGCAGATTCCTGGGCCCCAGCCCTAGTCACTCTGATTCAGGAGGTCTGGGGCAAGGCTGGGGGTGGCAGCTGAGAATTTGCAGACCTGGCAGGCTCTGGGTCTGCAAACGACCTGGAGCAGTGCTGTTCAAGGAAGCCTGTCCCAATCCGTTCCCTTCCTGGCTGACCAAGAGGCCTCACCACTGAGCTATTTGGGGCTAGGCCTGGCTGCCCTCCACTCCTCCCCTTCAAGGGGCAGGAAGGAGCTCTGGGTTCACCTCTGTGCACGAGGAAGAGCACCTCCCAGCTTTGAGCCCATCCTCTAACCTCTGGGTGCAAAACCTACCTCTGCATGTTAAATTTTTTCAAAAGCCAGCACTTAATGACACTTTACTCTGTGCAGGCAACATTCTACTTATGAGGGAGCCCCATTTTACAGATGGAGCAATTGAGGTGCTGGAAGTGACGTAAACTGTTGCATCACACAGGCAGGAAGTGGCAGTGTGAGGATTTGAGCAGGTTGTCTGGTCCAGAGCTCGCCCCTCAACCAGCGTGGCCGAACGAGATGGTGTATGTGTACAAGTGCTCGGCAAACTGTAAAGTGCTGTGTGTCCCAGCGAGGTATTATCTCAGTCCCTCCTCTCACTCCCACTGACCTCTGCCCCCCCTTCTCCCTGAGGGCGTCCCCTCCCCACCTCCCCTGGGGACTGAACCTGTGATCATGGCCTGGTAGACGGCCGCAGTGGCTGCAGCAAGGTAGGAAGGTTCTGAGGATGGGGGCTGCATCTCATTGAAAGTGTCAGCCCCGTAGATGTGATCCGTGCCAAACTCTTTTGTCAGCTCCCGCAGGAAGAGGCTCCCCATAATGGGGAATAAGGGGTCTTCTGGAGCCAGGAGGAAGGAGCAGGAGTAGGAGCAGTTGAAGTGTCCCCAGCTGTCCATCTGTGTGATATTGACCCGAGGGAACACCCTAGTGGGGGCAGGGGTGACAGTCCAGACATTTACTGGCAGCTGACCCAGTATTCATCTCCAGTCTCACTAATTAATCTTCAGTTCTTGGAACCCATCCTAGTCTCTAATGCCTCTGCACACCCTGGGTCCTGTTCTTCCTCCCTCCCTACTTATCCAGCTGCTTACTCCTTGACATCCTTTGAGTTTCACCTTGTCTGGGAAGCTTCTGCTGTCTCTCCACCACTGACAAACAATCAACACTCATTTTTCAAGATCTGGGCCAGTACGGCCAGGCAGAAGTGACCCTGACGGAGGAGAAGTGGGCCTGCATATATTCCTGCCCATTCTGCTATTCTGTACTCCCCTGCAAACCTATCTCCCACCAGAGGCGGGAACCCAGCACACCCAGAGGCTGGTCTGGTGGCCCCAGACAGCCAAACGCTCACTGATGTATATATGAGGCTCCTGCCACCCAGTTCGGGAGGTGAAGGTGGGTGGCCAAGGAGGCTAGCTGCATGTGCTAAGCACTGTAGGAGTGGCAGGAACTAGGTGCTCATGGGCACGGAGAAGGTGGTGTCCATTGCTGGGGCCCCAGCAAGACTTCCTGAAAGAGGGGAGGTCTCAGCTGGGCCTTGAAGAATTTTCCCAGGAGAGGATGGCTGGGTAGCACAGAGCGGCAGGAAGGACAGAGAACAGTGCACCCCTACTACCACTAATAAGAGCTGCCATTTGCTAAGACCCTGTGCCAAGCCACTTATATTTAACAAGTGAGGAAAATGAGATACAGGGCAGTCATGTAATCTGTCCAAGGTCACAGACTAATCAAAAGCAGAGCCAGGAATCAAGCCCAGGTCTACACCCAGAGCTTCATTTTCCTTTAAATCATGTTTGGCAAGGGAAAATAACTTTCCTCTTTGAGCTGAGTGAGGAATGTGGGGTCAGGGGAACCTCACCTGGTGATAGCCTTGGGGACATGCCCTGCAAATGCAGGCAACACTGGGATCATGCCGAAGGAGCGCATCCGGTCCAGGATCCGATGCTAGGAGGAACACGAGGGGGAGGTGACAAGCATGGCCACCAGAGGTGGGAGGCCCTTAATCCCCTGGGCACTCAGAATCCCCACGGTCCAGGTAAGAGCCCCAAGCCTGGACAAATGCCACCCTTCCTGGGCCCATCACTGTCCAGTACCAATTCTGTCCCATCCCTTCCCATCCTTTTACCTGCAGGTAAAGTTGCTTGAGATGCCAGGAGCGGGGCAGGGGACCACCCCAGGTGTGCAGGTTGCCCATGCGCCCCCAGGCCAGGAAAGCAGGACCAGTGAAATACTCATCAATCTCTGACTGGGTCAGGCCCAAGTTCAGGTACACCTGAGGAGGAGAGCAATCCCCACACATATAAAGACTTTCATCTCCATTTACTGACATCTATTCAACACTCATTCATTTCTTCTTTGTGCTGTCCCCTAGTTAATAAGGTAGAATGCAACCTCTGCCTGCAAGGAGCCCACAGTCCAGGAGAAAGATCTGTGAACAGGTAAGTTGACTAATGTTACCCTGGTCGAATGGATGAAGGGGCTCTCTCCAAAACAGGGAAGGGGCTTAGAAGGCTTCATGGAGCAAGGCTGGCTGGAATAATGGGTGAGGACAGACTGGCAGGGAGCTTGAGGCCCAAGGACAGAAGCGCCCAGGCCGGCAAAGCCTGAAGGCATTGGAACTTCCTGAGCGTGTGAACAGCGGAAGGCCTCCGCCAGATCTGCATTTTGGAAAGGACGCCCTGGTGGAATGTGGAGAGCCAGGAGTCCTGTTCAGCGGCTCTTGGGGGGGGGGGGNATGAGTAAGGATGGAGAAGCAAATCAAGAGCTGCTAATGACATGGCATCCATAGGAGCAGCTGAGTGACTGGATGTGGGTGTTGGGAGAGAGGGGAGCTCTGGTTTCTTGGTGTTTACATTCGGATGCTGGGTTCTAGCCCTCGGGGCGCTCCTTTGTCTGTCTCAGCAATGGAAGCCTGTTTCTGGAGGGCTGAAACCCTTATTTTCTGTGTGCCAGACACTATGTTGATGCGGGGGACGTGGGGACACATGGGGTGGGCACGCACCCGCTGCCAGATGGCCTCTTGGCCGCTCCAGGCCAGCGCCAGGTTGATGCCGTTCA